TACCGAGTCTACAACTGCAACTTCGGTTACAACTCTGATGCCTGGAAGACAATAACACCGATATTGGGATTTATATTCGGTATAGTTCCAAACATAATCATCGTCGCCACAACAGTTTCTACACTGAAGTACCTAGCTGATGCAGGGAAATCTGCAAGACGAGTTGGTGGAAGTGTTCCATGGCAAGGAACTCTCACTGTGGTCCTCACTGCTGTCATCTACTGCATCTCCACTTTACCTTACGTTGTCATCAACTGCATGAAAGATCCCTCCGAGTTATTTCTTGTCCAAATCTATAAATGTTTCTTTTTCTTCTTGATGATAAATGTTGTGGCAAACTTTTACATATACGTTCTGACGATCAGAAGTTTCCGACAATTCCTCCTTTCCAAAATCCCTTCGGTTGTTTCGCTACTAGTTTCGTTACAGACCTCGAACATAATATCCACAGCAGGTTAGTCTTAGCACAGCAGGTTAGCACAGCAGGTTAGCACAGCAGGTTAGCACAGCAGGTTAGCACAGCAGGTTAGCACAGCAGGTTAGCACAGCAGGTTAGCACAGCAGGTTAGCACAGCAGGTTAGCACAGCAGGTTAGCACAGCAGGTTAGCACAGCAGGTTAGCACAGCAGGTTAGCACAGCAGGTTAGCACAGCAGGTTAGCACAGCAGGTTAGCACAACAGGTTAGCACAGCAGGTTAGCACAGCAGGTTAGCACAGCAGGTTATCACAGCAGGTTAGCACAGCAGGTTAGCACAGCAGGTTAGCACAGCAGGTTAGCACAGCAGGTTAGCACAGCAGGTTAGCACAGCAGGTTAGCACAGCAGGTTAGTCGTGCGCGGCACCCGACTACCATAGGCTTACAGTTACTTAACTAACTAACAATTATTCAACAAACTATCACTATTAGTTATTACTACTACAGACCTCGAACATAACATCCACAACAGGTAAGTTACAGTTATTTAACTAACTGGTAACTCGGTAATCTGCCGATCAATGCGATCCGAACCGTGAATTAACAAGCTCTGATCCCGAAACCCTCGGGTATAAAGGTTGTTATCACATAGGTTCCTCATTCCAGTTTTCGTTCTACTACCACAACATATCTACTACTACTCATCATGCCTACACGATCCGGACTTCGACTATCCCGACCTATTCCTCCCCCAACTTGCAGTCATTGTGGCGCACGAGGTCACATCAACACAGTGTGTCCACGATCCTCCTACTCTCCTGTTATCCCAGCCCTCACCTGCCCCCACTGCATCCGAACAGTCAGAAGTGGACAGAGTAACGAGCCAGACGGTACGCAGATAGTGGTTACGATAGACCCCTGCGATACACACTCCTCTCCTGTCGTCAGACCGTCTCCCCCTCCCCCTCACACCCCTGCTGCTCCTACAGCACCTTTGGTTCTTCCTCCTCCTCCCCCTCGACCTGTCGTTCCGGTAACCTCAGCACATGTTCCAGTTCCCGCTCCCGCTCCGGCTCCGGTTACTGTACCAGCTCCGGCTACTGTTCCTGCTCCCGCTACAGCTCCTGTTCCGGCTGCCGCTCCTGTTCCTGCTCCCGCTACAGCTCCCACCGGTCCTGTTCCGGCCCATTATCCTGGTTCGAGCCGCACCTTCACCATCGACGGAGAAGTTTCAAAGTACGACAGGATCCTGGCACGTGTCCGGAATGGTGCTACGAAGAAGGAGGCACTCGCTGCAGAGGGGATATCTGAGTCCTTTTTCGGCAGGAAGCGCTGCATAGCAGAGGCAGCGAGGATTGACCTACCTTCTCTCCGACATGGACTCCTCCAGCTGATAAATCCCACGCTTAAAAACCTTCTACCAGTGGCCAGGGATATCTGCAACCGGAACCAAACTGTGCTTCGCACACTCCACGCTTCAGGAGAAGCACTCCCTCCCAAGAGGATATACTGATTTATTTTGTAGTTACAGTAATACTTATAGTTTTTAATGGTTATGAGATGTTCCGATTGATACTTTAATAATATAATATTGCTTACCTATTAAATTTATTAGATACATTACGAACAGATCAATCGTATTTTTCAATTGCTCGTTAATAAATACATTTTTTTAATAATAAAATTGTGTCCCTGAAAATTATATTGCTCATACATATAGTTTAATACTGTCACCAATATAAGTAATATAAATAATGATATCTATCATCATAGTAATAAATAATAATTCATATTGCCCGAATGACCGTGCCCCAGGTGGTTTTGCCCGAGATGTGCCCGAGATGTGCCCCAGGTGTGCCTGAGATGTGCCCCAGGTGTGCCCCAGGTGGTTCTGCCCGAGGTGTGCCCGAGGTGTGCCCGAGGTGTGCCCGAGATGTGCCCAGGTTCTTTTCCCAAGGTTTCCCAATTACCATGCCCGAATTTTGCCCGAGATGTGCCCGAGATGTGCCCGAGGTGTGCCCCAGGTGTGCCCCAGGTGGTTCTGCCCGAGGTGTGCCCGAGGTGTGCTTTGTGCCCCAGGTGTGCCCGAGGTGTGCCCGAGGTGTGCCCGAGTTTGTGCCCCAGGTGTGCCCGAGGTGTGCCCCAGATGTGCATCGGCAGATTACCGAGTTACTAACTAACAATTATTCAACCAACTATCACTGTTACAGTTACTTGACTAACTAAAAATTACTCAACTAATTATTTATCACTATTTTATCAATTTTCAAGCAATGGACCCAGTACTCACAGTGAGGAATCCTGATCAAATATATTTCCAGCAGGTGACAACCAAGAAATAAAAACAACTGACAAGAAAAATTCACCGCCTAACCAGATGATCTCACTACAGAACTCCCGGCACATTACAGGTTTTTTAAATTACCGTTTTTATTAATTTAAGTTTGGTATATTTACAATACTATACAGATAGTATTTTCTAAAAATCTAATATGATACTGATAAAACGCCTGTTGAATGAGTCATGGATAGATAATATTAATAATAAAATGACATGTTATATTAATAACTTATTCTCTGTAGATAAAGACAGCGGAGAAATAATACCTGATGAGAAGGCGCCATCTAACGAAACCTCAGTTTGAAGCATGTTGGTATGCTGCTAAGGAAACTGAAGAGAAGACGTTAATGAACTTAAACTCTCCTCCACACCAATACTAATAGCTAAATGTGGCATTTACTACAAACTAGAACATTTATGAAGGAGCAATGTGGCATTTACTACAAACTAGAACATTTATGATCTATTTCCCAAGGGAATTCGGAGGTACGTTTCCAGGAAATTTATATGTTAGATTTTGTGAGTAATTAAGTGACAAATATTTATCCTTGCCCGGTTGAGTGATTGCAGGATAGAACTAATTTTCGGAATCAGACTTTCGGTTAGACTTTGAATTATACTTCCGACTATTATTAAGTTGAAATTAACTGAAAGATTCATGACAAATCAGAAAATCTTAGAGTTACTGTTAGCCAAAGAAAATTTGAATTATGATTGTATTGTGTTCCACTTCTAAAGTAAGAACAATTTAACAATGACAGATTTTAGTTGGGGTAACATTTGATCTCAATAATGTCATTTTAATTTCAATGTGTTAATTATTCTTGTATCATTATTATTCCTTTTTGTGTTTTTATTTAATATCTTTCAAGATGATTTCCTATAATAGCTCACAGAAAATTTATGCGAATGTTCAAAAATAATAAGTAATCATTGTCTATTTGTGTGAATTTTAAGTATTGATAAATATTTGATCATCGAAGACCCGTTATCTGAGTCCTGACTTGATTTCCCATCTTCTATAATTAAAATATTGTGAATTCCTAACTATTGATTTTCTCAGATTTTAGTGTTCAATAAAATAATAATTTTACAAAGAAGTTCGTTTCATTGCTCATATTATATGGAAATCACTCAATTTCGCCCGGATAAAAGACTCTGTCTAGAGATCCAATATTATAAAGAATACCGAATTATGCGGATAAATACATTTGACTATCCTACAGCTGCTATTCAGATATAAAGGGACTTGATCATGACGTAACAATTGGGTCACTAGGCCACCTTTAATACAGATCTGAACTTTGTGTATTTGTAGGTGAATTATCAAAATTATTGCCAAGATACAATTGCAGGATACAATTCTATGGAAATTGTCCAGGTTTGGCGGGTGAGTAGTTTCTTGTATGATTTGAGTATGTTGTCCCAATATTTAAGAAAAAAAGAGTGATGTTGAAAACTAAGACCAATATCCCTTACTTGTTAAGTCATGACCATTTTTTCCCGATCCATGACTCAAAGTGCCGAAGGCACAAAAGAGTCAAGGACAAGGGTTAGCGATCGAGTTTTTTTTTAAATATGGTACCAGCTTTGCGACCGTGCGAGTGTGCGCGCGACCGTACGTGCCTGCGAGCACTGTTATCGCCCACGTGACTACCTGCGCAAAGTTATTTTGCGTGACAATCTGAATTATATAATTGTTGGCGCGCGGCGCTGAACCAACCAAGTACATTATTAATTTCATCATGTACGTATCCCACTAGGCACTAATTAATAGCATATTATTATTATTTTGAGTTAGTATTACTATTTTGCACAGATCCGTGTCATGTTGCATAAACAATAAACATATTATGGTTACATAGAAGTATACACGATTTTCAAATTCAATATAGAATTATATTAACTGGGCGGCGCTCGGCAGTCGGCATGTCACTTCGCCATATTTGCATGTTTATATAAACAGTAAAGACTGAGCCGTCCCCAGGTTGTATGAAATATGATAAATACGCCATCACGGATCGGGAAATTGAGCGGCCATCCACAAAAGAAAAGCGGCCGCATTTCTTGTTAAACGGATTATTAAAAGCAATTTTCTTTCTTTGACAAACGTCCTTCTTGATCCTAGGCAGCATGGCTTTCTATAGAGCAAAAGTCATGAACAACAAATTTTAAAACTATTGTATTTGTGGGCAATTATTGTTTCTCGGAAGAATATTTTTGAGTCCAAAAGAGCTAAGGTATGACTTTTTACAAGAAAATGTAACTTTAAAAACAAAATATAAGATAAACATTCTATGCTAACGGTTTATTACATAACTGACAATGATTCAAAATTCTAAAATTATAAAGAAAGCGTGTCGTTTGATTCAGTTTCTTATTTCAATCACGGCATTCGAAATGATGTTGCAATAAGCATCATTAAAATATAAAGGAGTTCCTTCTTGAAAAAATATCTCCAAGGCTTCTAAGATTCTTTGCTAAGTCAGAGTGGCATGTTTTTCGTGATTTCGATCGAGTTGAGATTCTGAAAAACATAGGAATGGCTACTTTATCAATATTAATTAATTAAATATATTGATTACATAGTTTTTAACTTTCAAGGCTAAAAGAAAAATGGTCATGAATCGATCAATAACACACCTTATAACCGAAGGAAAGCCGTGAGAAGAGGAACTACAGCGATGGACATGCTAAGTGCACTACTGTCATCATCATGGCTATCATCGTCATTACTGTCATCGTCATGACTGTCATCGTCATTACTGTCATCGTCATGACTGTCATCGTCATGACTGTCATCGTCATGACTGTCATCGTCATGACCTTCACCTCCAGCATCTTCACCTCCAGCATCTTCACCTCCAGCATCTTCACCTCCAGCATCTTCACCTCCAGCATCTTCACCTCCAGCATCTTCACCTCCAGCATCTTCACCTCCAGCATCTTCACCTTCTGAGCCTGAAATCAATAAGGTTCATGGTAATAATTTGTATTGCAGTTATCCACATTGATTTATCCTGGTCTTCAGTAGAAGTGTCTAATACCTCCTCTTTAAAAAACATTCGCAATCAATATATTAATTAGAAAATACCAGTAAAAGTGTATAATTATTATCAACATATTGAATTATATAGTTTAATTAACTTACGGATTCCAACAACCATCAGGCCCATAAGGATAGCGATGAGGAAGAATTTCATTTTGATTATCTTGATAATTGTAAGTGTTAAATTAACAGTAATTTATAGAAAACGAAACCTAACTGCTTGATAGAACAAAACTGTATGAACACAAGGAAAGTCAAGGCTGATTATCAAACCATGGATCAGTGATCAAAGGATTCTAAGTGAATTGAATCTCATGGCATGACACTATAAGACCTGAAGAAGAATGGGCCAGTAAACCGGCAACTGAGTAACGCACACACCGCTAGTAGCAGTCCGCTACCTGACCGCTGGAGCAGATATTTATAGGCGCTGCGTTCTCACGCGTCTTCTAGAATATCGATAGCTACAGGCGTGTCACGTGACACGACACGTGTCACTGTCAGAACGTGCTACATCAGAACATGTAACAATTCGTCATTTGGAAGTCTATTGTTCTTAACCTTGAAACTGTTGGTATTCAGGAATTGATCAGACCATTGTTTGACGTTTTGAGCACATACATATTTGTGTAACTGTTATAAGACTGCTGTCCCCTAATACCTCAAAATTGCAAGTAGCTGAGACAATAATGGTGCCAGTTAATCTACAGTATGTTATTGTTCCCTTATGGTTCACATACTATCTGCAATTGAGCTTCTCAGACGAAGTTAACAAAGCTTGTGAGTGAGCTGAACTACTCGAGCGAGGGACCCCATATCATCAATTAATCGTCACTGATTGGGCGACGTGGTCAAATCTCTAGCCTGATCAAGTGATCAAAGGGATTCTTAATGGTCGGTCACTGATGTGGCTAGATACTGAAAAACAAAGCCCCATGCCAGAAACACGATCCCCTGTTGTTCTGCAGAAAGAACCACAATCCAAATCCTCGGCTGAGTCAGCTTGTCTACCTCCCCCTGTTAAGTGTTAAGAGTGAGCGGGAATCAGACAAACCTTCTCGGAGAGAAAATAAGGACGTTCACATAATACGTTATTATCCTGAAATATAATTTTACAGTCCCCAATATATGATTTCCAGTCTAAACGGAGATCCTAGGTATACAGATGATTACTCTGATGATGAAAGCATTATGACTGAAATGAAGTCTGTTGAGCACTGATGACTGCAATAAGTCGGATAAGGAAGATGTAGTGTCATTGAATTGGATAAGCATTTGGATGACGAGGATAATGTGTAGTGTAAAAATGTGTAGTGCAGAAATGTGTTCATTGTTCCTTTATTATGAATAAACTCAAATCTTAACACTTTATAGTACCTTATAATGAAGCCGACCAAATGTCGAATTGAATCAACTTCTCTCCGTGCATGTATCGTGATAACTGATAAGATTCAATAAGATCGGTTTCTGTTTCACACTCGATATCTATTTCTTAAGCTAATATTGATGCTATTATATCTTGCCATCTGTATCTGGGACCATTTACAAAATATTTGGCACAAAACACTTTCAGTTTCCGTATGATGTTGAAGTTTTTAGACTAAACAATTAAAAACTAATTGGTCTTCGACAAAAGGGCAACGCTCCAAGTGTTTATTGTGATCAGTTTGAACTTTAGTAGCAGACAAGACACGAATGCTGCCTCAGTAACAAAGGAATCAATAGATGTGGATCCTAGTGTAAGGAGGTGACGCATATTGTTTTAACACTTGTGAGCATAGTTGGTTCGTGCGTCAATTTTTCGGGAAAAGTACGTAAAGTGCGTTTGAATTATTTCGTGCGTTAAAAGTGCGTTTAAGTACGTTTACCGTTGAATTCACCAGCATTTTCTGTAGACTGTAGAGACAAACAATTAAAACACATGAATAACGTTCTTAAAGATTACATAGCGAATAAATTACATTTATTTCTATTACATTTTATAGTTTCACGCACACTGGCATTCCAAAAATAGCTACTGTAAGGCTCACCAATGACAGTTTATGTGAAATCTTGGAAATAACACTGTCTGATGTTTTGAACCATGTGTATTCAAAAATGAAAAAACCGCAAATGGCCCAGCGAGGGTAGGTAAAAGTGCGTTTTACGTGTTTTCGTACGTTAAGTGCGTTATGTTTTAAAAGTACGTTAAGTGCGCACGAACCAACTATGCTTGTGAGAGTAATAAACCAATCAGCTTCCACTATTGACCAACCAAGCCAGAATGGGGTCAATCACAGTCTAGAGCTGCATCGACAAGGAATGGGGATCACTTTCACTTCGAAAAGCTAATAAGAGGAATGCTTTCAGTTATTCTAATTACCGAGCTGAAAAGCTTTTGTCACGTGGCATATCAGGTGATCCACATTGAGGTCCGGTAGAGCAGGAATCAATGCAACAAAGATTAGTTTCCCTTTCAGTTTCTCCTTGCCAATATGTTGGGAAGAAAAATGTTGCTCCTTGTTACTATTGAATTATAGTATGTATATATATTATATATGCTAATCACACGATCTTACAAATACAAATCACCATTTTAGAAAATCCTTAACTATTCGGTTTGTGTCGAGTATTTTCGACACTGTACTTAAGAAACGGATTCCATAGATTTACAGTTTTCGTGAGTACCATGATGCACCACGTGACATGAGCTTGTTAGCTCGAGTCTTAGTGAAACTGGAAGCGTTCTTCATTTCTAACTTCTTTCTAGTTTTTCGAAGTGAAAGCGATCTTCATTCCTCGTCAATGCTCATTGATCCCTTTGTTATTGAGGCAACATAGTTCTATAGTTGTCTCATCTGCTACTGAAGTAGTATTTATCACAATGCTTGGAAGTCGCCTTTTTAAATTGAAATGAGCAGGTTCCCGATTATTTCTAATAAAATTTTCAGCTTCGCGGAGAATCAAAGAAAACCTTTAAAAAGGATACTCGTATCACCTGGACCAGGAACAATGAACCCTGGAATCCTGATGAAGATGGCACTGATAAAATGAGGGGTTTCATCATCAGGTATACATTAATTACAGGGTGTCATGAAAATGAAATAATGAACATGAGAGTTATCTGGAACGACTATATACTTTCAATGGCTGTAGTACTAGTAACATATTCTAACTAATAACTATTCGTTTAAATACAATGTTTGTCCCTGAATGAAGATGCATGATTATCATTTATCATAATATGATCAAATCCAATATCCATCAGCGGTCAATCAGCCATGTGTTGGAACTAGTTTGAAAGTATTTAGAATTAATTTTCTATTTTTAACTTCGGACTTCTCCCACAGAGATTTTGATCCAGAAGATGCTGGCGTGTATGTAGGGTCAATATTCATCGACCAAGATGGAAAGACCTCCAAGTGCCAGTTTGACCTGAAGATTGAGCTACTGGATGGCTCAGTAAGTCTCAGGATAACTAATAAAGCAAGTCTGATGAGGCCTCAGAAAGCAGGAAAAATACTTAAAATAAAATGTGATGTCGACATGGTTAAGGTAGGTGAACAAATACATTTTACAATATAATTTCAATACGCTTTGTATATGAGCGATAATTTGCCAAATTTATGTAATTGCTGCATTGTAAAAGATGCAGAAAGTGATACTTTAAATGCACCCAATTTATTACTGGGCCGCGCTCAGCCTGTCATTCCGCCTAATCTCTATTCTATGTTTATGAACATGATAGCCTGAGGTCCCCAGGTAACCAATTTAGTAATATTAATAACCTGATAATAATTCATTAAGATTTTATATATTAACGACTACGTGCAGATTTACTTATAGGAACCGATATTCATTATTCAGTTAAGGTATTCAGTTTTTTACCTTTTGTAAATGTAAAACTTCTATAGTTCTATAAACACCAGGTAAAACTGGACGATCCCAAAAATCCGGACAACATTAACTGGTACAAAGTAACAGCTGACGGAGAAGTGAAGCTAGATGATGACTCTCACAGCGGCATGTACATTAAAAAAGGCGCAGGTAAAATTTACCGTAAATAACGTAGTTTTTTATAACTTGGCCTTGGTTAAATGTTGGTAAGTAGTTTAATTAATGAGCTGTTGACCATAATTGTTAATGGACTAGCCCGGCACGCGCTACTTCGTAGAAATTTAGACGAGTAAAATCCGTCAAAATGAGCTGTGACTCATAGTCATAACGTATCAGCGTGTACGGATTTACAACTTTTGAAACACTAACACTAACAGCACTTATATAAGCTCAAAGCTATGAATCTAAAATTAAATAGTTAATTAATAAATATTCAAATACTTGCAGGGAATTACCAGCTGATATTCGCACACCCCAAACACGAGGATAGCGGCACGTACAGGTGCGAGTTCGACCAAATGGGCGTGTCGGTTTCTACTGATGTCACAATAGATGTGGTTTAATGAACATAATAAGGTGTCGTTCACATATTACGTAATCAGCTGAGGGGGGGGGGGTTTCCGAATGATTACGCTAGCGTAATTTTGCCATAATAGCTATGTGTAAAACTAATTACGGGGGGGGGGGGGGGGGGGGGTAAAAATGTTCTAAACTATAAGCATTTTAATTAAACGTTTTTTAGCTTAATCAGTTCTGTTATGGAAGACTATCTGATCAACCGGATAAGACTTTGAGTATGTATGTAGTAGACACATGATTGTAAATCAAATTTCTAAAATACGGGTATTTGCCTCACAGAATGGCCAAAAAAAGGAAGGTCTCTCAAAGTCACAAAACACACTTTATTCCAGTTTTTATCTCATAAGAAGCTAAGTTGACACTCATATTTTTCTTCCCGGGGGTTCATTTAATCTCATAACCATTTTTTCTTTGAGAAAAATTAGCCGGAAAATCTTCCTCCAAAAAAACATGCCTCACAGAATGGCCAAATCTGAATTTCTATAATTTTGTTGATGGAGATACTTTTTAAATTTCTATCACCACACGTTCTTAGAAAACCTATTAAGGAATGGGGTAATAACCTAAAACTCACGAAAAAACTGAGCTGTGAAAAATTATTTCACAAAAAAGAAAAAATGCCTGACAAAATGGCAAAAAAAAAAGAAAACGAGAAAATTCTATTTTTCTTAAACCTTTGGCTCTTGTTTCAGGCATGCTGCTGG